TCAGCAGCCTGGGGCTTCTATCTCACCATGACAAGGCCAAACCTCAGCATGTCACAGAGTGTTCAGGTGGCTACCAGGACAAGAAAACACAAGTCAGAATCATCAACACTGAAAAGGAAGGAAAAATGCAAAGAATCTGCTGAGGGGATGATTTTCCACATTGAAAAACCTGAACAAATGCTCTGGCCGTGAGTATCCAGGAGCAGCTGCAAGCAGCCTTTACAAGGAGGATGGCTGAAAAGACCAGGAGTCAGACTAGGAAAAATGAGTTCTCTGGGCTGCTGCTCACGATCGTTAATTTCAAAGTGCTATTCAAAGGAGGATCTCCTACTGGAGACCAGAAGCTGAGAGGCACCTAGGAAATTGGCTGAATAGAGTCTTGGGTGTTGCAGGGAAGAATATTTAACCCTTTATTGCAGGGTTGGGGATGAGGGGTAACTAGCTGAATAAAATGGAGTTATATTTGAGTTTCCAGAAAGGAAGAGTCCCTAATGGAAAGATGCTAATGTCTTGATATAAATTAGGAAGCAGAATCTCATTCCAGGGAAGATAGCATTGGGACTGTAAAAGGTATTTGGAAGACAAATTGCTGGAGAGTAGCTGAAGAATGTGGGGAAGAAAGATAATGGGAGAGCAGTGAGGAGCCCTGCCTTCCCCACCGAGTACCAGGCACGCTATGAAGGGACAGTAGAAACAGAACGGGCACACAGAGAACCCTGTGCCTGAGACTGGAGGAATTATTAATAAACATGAGGTAAGTCCTTTCTGCTGGGTGCTGTGGAGCATCTGTTCAGCACCATGTGACCCCTGTTTCTCAAGGGTTCTCTGCCTTCTTTAGGAACCAACTGCTCTGCCTAGCTCTTTCTGCGGTGCAGGTCCCTGACATGGGAAAACTGTTTTCACAACCCGCAACAGGGTGTCTGCAGTGAACGTGGACTAGTTGATTATTTTATTTCCTAAAAATGATTCTAAGTGCTCTTTGACTTCAAGGCCAAGGGGCAGCCAGTTTCCCTTCTTCAGGTACTGGCTGATGGGCGCAGGCTATGGTCCCTGATGAGCTATGGTGCTGGAAACTGAGCAAGTGGGAGGTGCCTTTGCCTATTGAACTTGGACCAGGTTCCTCGGCCTCAGCTCACCTCTGGGTGGTTTTGTGGCAGCCTTCCGATGGCTCCACTCCAACCAGCCTTCTCACACCTGCTGGGTTCCCAGCTGCGAAAGAATAATATTTTCCCCCAAACAATCTGTACAGTGTCAGGCACAGCTCCTGGGGAGTGACCTTGAGGTGGCTTTGCAAGGAGAGATGCATGAAGCATGACATGACCTTATGAACACAGGCAGGCCGCAAGGGGTAGTCATCACAGCCGTGCCTCAGGTAGGAGAGGGCCAGTAGCTGGGGAATGTTCTAGAAGAAAAATGTTCTGGGTGGGCAGGGGGATGGACAGAAAGTAAATGTTACTAGCCAGGAGTCACCTCTTGGAAGAAGCAGCAGCATGGGTGGACTTTGTTACCAGATAGTCCCCTTCTGAAGGGTGTAGCAAAATCCCTGCTTCTCCAGTTTTGCAGATCCACTAAGTGCCTTGTAACCCCCTGAGATGCTCCTAACATTGAGAGGATGATAGGCAGGGGGAATTGGGCCTGGACAGAGTGACATACATGTGACAACTAACCATTCAGAGGCACTGAATAGAGTTCCCAGGCCCTGAAGCTGTCATAGACCCGTAGTTTCTTGGAAACAGAAGGCACCTGTTTCTGCATATCAGCAAAGCCAGACCTTAGAAACTAGCTAGGGACAAGAGTTTACCTCATTAGGCTCTGTGCCCACCTAGGCCCATTAAAAATGTCCTGGGCTGCCCTGTTGCCTGATGGCTTTCCTCCCTCCTAAGTCACCTGTTCTGGTCCCCATGTCTCTCACCTGTACTGATATGCATCAGTCTAGGTTGTGTTGGGGTTCCCATGGGGCCCCTTTGGCCAACAATTCAACTAGATGTAATCCACTCCCAGGACTGGAACCTTCATTTGGTAATGAGAGATTGTCAGCCAGGACTCTATCTCCCCCATTGTTTGGCTATTCCGTTTGGGTCACCTTCATATATGCATACATTTTAAGAAGCTTCTACTATATTAGGTTTCCATATGACCTCTCACATTGCCCTTAGTTTTAACTGTTCCTTTCCCACCTCTTCACTTCTCCCTGTTTGGTCCTCCTATCCTGGTCTTCAGCCCACCTCCCATCCAGAATCCTTATCTGTTCTATTTCCCTTCCCTTAGTGATCTAACCTTCCCCCCTACTCTACACCCAATCGCTGTGGATATGTTGATCTTAGCCCACTTATTGAAGACTTAGCAATTACCAATATTAAACTTAGATGTCACTTTGTATGTCAAAGACTAGTGTGTGTGTGTGTGCACACGTATGCATGCACACGCGAGTGCCTGTGAGTGTATTCACAAGTATGTATGAGCACACTTGAATACAGACCAAAGGAAATGTGTCCTATTCTAATTTTCTGTCTTACTCCCTTGAGACAAGCTCTGTTACTGAACCAGGAGCTGGACTGGCAGGCAGGCAGCCCGGTATTCTTCCTGCCTACTCTTCACAGCGCTGGGGTTAGAGCTGCTTAAAAGGCCATGCCTGACATTTTCACAGGGGTGTTGGGAATCAGAAATGAGACCTTCATGTTTGTGTGACAAGTGCTTGGACCCACTGCACCATCTCCTCAGCCCCTGAGCTCAGTGGGCTTGGTGGGGGGGAGGGACGGAATGGACCAAGGGGTGCGGGACACTTCGGCTCCACCCATGCCAGCCTTGGGACAGACAGCACAAAGCAATGGCAGCTTTTCTTGGTGGGGGACTGATTACGAGGCTGAAAAGGGTGATGGGAAATGTCCTACTTCTTGATTGGAGTGGTTGCTGCACCAGCGTGTCCATTTGTGGAAAGTCACAACCCTGAATTTTGGGATTGTGTGTTTTATTACCTAGAACATGACCTTGAGCAATGAAAAACAGGGAGGCAGGGCTGGGTGCCGTTGTGTTAACTCTTTCTGCCTTGGTTTCCTCAGAATGAGGAGAGCCACAGTCCTCACTTCTTGCATGCTTGTGAGAATTAAAGGTATTAATTCAGTCAAGAACTCAGTGAGCATCATCTGAGACACCCTAGCTGCTCCATACACCGTAGTTTCTAGTAGGATACCAGTGACCTTTAGGATGATTCTTTTGGACACTCAGAACTGGGTGAACAAAGATTCTTCCTTTAGCACATCTGAGACTCAGAGAACAAGGCTTCCAGGAAGACTCCAGGGGAATAAACACACTGGCTCTTCAGGGTAGGCCTGAATCTATAGACCAAGCTTCGCCCCAAGTCAGACTTCTAGGCCCCTGCTGTCTTCTGGCTGCCACTAGGCTCATCTCCACTTGGATGCCACCGTTTTAATGCTCACTCAGTGCTCATATCCCAGGACCTTCTGGGGATGACCCCTTTGGGGACAAGAGAAGGAAGCTCGGAGCCCTCTGCTTCCACTTCAGTCTTTTCTCCTGGGAGCCATGTTGCCCAGGTTGCTGTCCAGAAATGACCTCATGGGGGAGGGCTGCCTCCTCCCTCCTGTAGGTGCTTAGCCTGGCAGATGTGGATGTAGACTAGAGCTTTGGGCAGGGGCTGTAGGCTTCTGGTTCTTCCCAAGAGTGAGTCTGGGGAAGTTTGGGCTAACCCAATCAAACAAAGAATGAACTAGGAGTTATCCATGAGGCCAAGGAAAGGCGAGACATTCAGTGGGGCCTAGAGCCCTCCCCCAGAAAGAGCAAAGAAAGAAATGTCCTAGGGCTTGCTGGGGCTAGAGCCAGCCTCATGATCCCTGAAGGCTTAGCACTTGGGGTTAAAATACACCCATCTCAGGCTGCCAGGAACAACAGCGCAGGACTAAGCAAACTGTTCATGCCAGCGGCACAGCATCAGGGCTTCAACAGAAACTGCTAGGAGGTTCCCAGCAGAACCCTCCCGTTCTCTAAAGCTTTCTGAGAGCCAAAAGCAGCCCGGACAGTCTGCAGGCATGAATGAAGCCTTATATGGACAAATTCCATCTTTACTCCATTTACCTGTCTGTCTATCCGTCCATCCATCCATTCATCCATCCATCCACCCACACATCCATCCACCAATTGAACTATCATCTATTCGTCTACCAATCTATCCACCCACCATCTACCCATCAGCCACCTACGCATCCATTTACCCCTCCACCCCACCCATCCACCCATCCACCACTCACACCTACTGGCCTACCCCATTCATTCATCCACCCACCCATCTGCCCATCCAGCTACCACTCCACCCACTTCCATTCTCATTCACTCACCCATCCGATGTGTTATGCTATATGCCATGGGTGAACACAGAATTCCTGCTCCAGGCACTTCTGCTCTATTTCACTGCCCAGAGTGTCAGTATCCAGGCAGGTACTGGGCACATAACACCAATAACAAGGATGGGATGCTGAGTGCACAGGAGAGGGACATCTGACCACTGTGCCTGGGGGCTCAAGGCAGGCTTCCTGGAGGAGGCAATAGTGAGCTTACCATTTGAAGAATGAAGTAAGCTAGCCAGATATGGTGGGAGTGGTGACAGGCTCCCTGTCAATGGTTGGGAGTTGTCACAGGAAAAGTGTTCATTTGTACAACCCACCCTCCCCTCACCGGTGTGGACCAGTGGTGGGATCTTGTTGGGGGTATTTGAGAGGAAGGTCTGTATGCTGCTGATGGATTGGACTGCTAAGAAGCATGTGTGCCTTCTCGGGCATCTCCTCCCTCTCCCCATTTGGAGGCAGATGATGACAGGAATGGCAGAGTTAGGCACCTCCAGCTCATACTGAGGCCCGGCCACCTGCAGGGTGTGAACACCTGCTTCCTGCCTGCTGTGAGAACAACCAACAAACTGCTGTCTTCAACCAAGGGTTAGGAGTTTATTTGTTCCAACTCTTGGTATTTCCTTAAAAACACACCATGAAGAGGGGAAAGGTTTATCAGAGGGAACCGCAGTGAGCATGCGCCCTAGGGAAAGAGAGGCAGGGAGGGAGCTGCTGGAGCAGGCTGGAAGGTAGGCTGAGGACAGGCTAGATGCCCAGGGATGAGTCTGTGGAGAACGTCGGCACTTTGGTCACAAAGTCAGTGAATGGTAGAGCTGGGCTCACCCCAGGTCTTGCTACGTCTCTGTTGAAAACACGAGTCACAAGTTGCCATGCAGTGTAGAAACTACAGCAGTCTGGTGATAAGGGCTCCTTTGGTGCTTTTCTGGAACTGGCCCCTGCCAAGAATGCTGTTTTTCAATATCCCCAAGCAGGAGCCATAGGCTTCCCCACATAGACGGAGGTTCTGCTTCCCCAAGAAGAATCAAAAGGATATCTTGCTTGATCTGGTCCCATCTTCTTGAGGAGCCTAAAGAAGACTACCCCAGGAGCTGAGGTTGACACATCCACCCCTCCCACCCCCACCCTGTCTCACCACCCTCCCCCACCCCCATGCTTTAGAAGATAACACAACAGCTTGAGCTACCTGCTTCTCCCTGCAGTAACCTGGGCTGAGTAAACAATGGAGCAAAGCTGATTATGGGGCCCAGCTCACCACCTGCCCACCATCAGGACGCTCTGGCCGCACCCCCTGGGCCCCTGGCCTGCACACCAGACAGCCAGATGATATGGGTATATGCAGGGTTTGTCTAAAACCTTCTACTTTCCTACCTCCCCTCCCCAAGAGGTCTGCTCCTATATGTGAAGACAGAATGTTCCAGAATACCTTTGTTCACAACCTTCCTTGATTTGTAGATGTGTCTGGTTCTGCTGCAGAGAATGAGGGCTTGGGGGTAGCCAGAGCTTCTAGTATCCTGGCCTGTGTCCTTCTGTGATGCTGCCTACAGCATTTCCTCTCTCAACATGGTCCATTGTCCACACCAGGCAGCATCTGAAGAGAGGTTTTTATCACTCCATACAAGGGTTTGGAAACAGCAAGTGACATGCAAACTTTAGATTTCCTGTATGGAGGCTGTAAGGCTCAGAAAACCAGGAAGTTTCATGAAAATATAAATTCCTATGTTAGAGAAATTTGTGTCTGTCTATAATCATCTCTCCATCCATCTGTGCATCTATTCATTCATCCACCCACCCATCAATCTAGTCACCCGTCCATTTATTTACCCATCAATCCATCCACCTACTCATTTACCTACTTCCCTTACCAACCCATCCACCCATCCATTCATTCACCTACACATCTATCTCTCCATCTGTGAAAATCCACCCAGCCCCTCCGGTGCTCAATCATATATGTATTCATTTGTTCACCCATCTATCCATCAATCTATCTATCCGTCCTCCCACTCAACCATCTTGTCCACCCATCCACCAATCCACCTACCCAGCCATTCATTTATCATGTATCCATCAATTACTCCACGTGCTTACCCACTTATGCAGTCCTCCACTTACCCACCCATCCATCCCCCATCCATCTGTGCATTCATTCACCTACACACTCACACACACACACACACACACACACACACACACACACAAGGTACCATAGATTCCTCTGTTACACTCTCTTACCTTTTGGCCTAGGTAACTCCACTGACCATTCTCAGCTTTCTTAACATCATGAAAGAGAAGGCACCTGAGTTCTGCACAGACTGGGATTCAGGCTCCTTGTCTGTCAGCTCCCAGCAATGAGCCAATGTCAGTTTTCTTAACTAGAAAATAGAACCAGTGCTTTCTAGCTCCAGATAACCCTGGGGACTTAAGGAAGCAGAGAGCACCAGGCCTGAGATACATTTAGAATACATCAGGGCGTCTGTACCTCAGTGGGCTAGAATTAGAACTCTGTGCTTGGGGTGTATGGGAAGTCCCTGTTGCTGCCTCACCCAGAAGAGTTCAGGGCCAGTAGCCAAGGACAACTCTCTGCTCCTCTTGCAGAAAGCCTGACCCTGGCTCTCCCTGGGCTGTGACCTAATTTTGGTCTGGCCAGATCTGGCATCTTCCTTTTCCCCTTATTGTCTCAGAGACCTCAAGTGTGTTTGGCCCTGGGCCATTTCTGCAGAAATAGCAGATGTAGCCTGCAGGCCACATTGTCACCTGACCACTACATTGTGTCACGCTTTCTCCTCTCAGAGTGTGCACAGACTATTGGGTGAGGAGTGTCAGGCAGGAAGGAAGAGCACAGGGCAAGGCCACACTTGCTTGGCTACATGAGGGGCTTGCCTGTGGGTCACACCTGCCCTCTGAGCACACACTGGAAGAGGCCAGAGCTAAGTTGACGTCCTAATTCTACCACTTTCTCCAGACTCTGAGTCCAGTTCTTTTAGGGGACAGGACTGATGATCATAACTGTTGGACTGTTCATAAAAGAAGCTAAGATTGGAGCACCCGACACAGCGGGGGAGCACACCAGACACATATCTATACTTGGGTCCATGAGGCCGAGGCCTTGAGCATGAAGCCACTCTTGGTGCCTCCGCTTCCTCATTTGGGCGATTTGTGATGTTTCCATGACTCACATATAAAGTATGAGGATCCATTTAGGCGCTGGTGGTGCTCAAGTTTTGTGTTATTTCACCACAGAGAGGGACTCAACCCAGGCCTTGTACATGCTGGGCAGGCCTTCCACCACCGAGCTGCAGGGTGGTGTGGGGTTTTGAGACAGTGTCTCCCTGTGTAGCCTCGATTGGTTTGAAATCGCCATCCTCTCGTCTCAGCCTCTCCAGTTTTCAGATTATAACCTGAACCACTCCTGCAAGAGTTTTACATTGTATTTACCCTCTGAAAATTAAGATATATTTTATGTACCATGAAATTCACAATTATATATATGTATATATATAAATTGCAAATTGTACGAAGCTTTAAAGCACACTGAGAACAGCCTTGTACAATTATATGTGTTATATATATAAATGTATATGCACCTATGTAAATATATGTACAAAGTATACAGTCTACATTATATACATATACAAGCCTGTTACACATACAGATTATGTTTTTTATGTATATACACATTGTATATGTATTATGTTTATATAGGTATTTGGTTTACATGTTGACATATATATTACATATGTATAAACTGATTTTATACAGGTATATGTATAAACTGATTTTATACAGGTATATATTATATTTGCATGTATGTGTATATTAATATCCATTCATACTGGTTAATATATGTATATATTGTGTATGTATATACACACATATGTATATATTATGTATGTATATACATGCATATAATGCATATTGTATGCCTATATTATATGTATATCAATGATGGACATGCATATGTCCTATATATAATATATGTATATAAAGACTATATATATATGCATTGAATGTGTGTATCATGCATGTGCATGTGTATGTAAAACAGATGGCTATAGCAAGACTCCCTCCACACTGCCAGCACACTTCAGGGCTCATGGTCGGCTGCCAGCTGCTGCTCCTTACAGCACCCCAACACCTCAGGTCTAAGAACCAGGTATCTCTAACTCAGGAAAAGATCCTAATTCAGAAGCAGAAGTGTGGTTTCCACTGAGTGCATGTGACTTTCATGCTGGGAATCCTGTAAGTTGAACCCTTGCAATGAGACCATCTGTAGTCGCTGTCTGTGTGGCCCACACTAGTGAAAACAGGCTGTCTTCAGCACTTTGGACAGTCTCAGAGCACATCCTCCATCCCCTTTTCAACTTCTGCTGCCTGTTTTCTAAGAAGCAGCAACTACTCTGACACCTATTGTGATACTTGTTTGTACTCTAACAAATAAAGCTTGTCTGAAGACCAGAGGATAGAGCTAGCCACTAGTTAATCGTGGATATCTGGAAGTCTGTATAGACAGACAGGAAGTGATATGGCTGGGTGGAGAGAGGAATGCAAGGCAGAAGGAGACATGAGCTTGGTCTCTTTTTGCGGATTTTGAAGTGGTAACAGCTCTAGTGGCTGGCTATTCTGCTTCTCTGATCTTTCAGATTTCACCCCTACTATTTGATTCTGGGTTTTTATTATCAAGACCAATTAGAATTCATGCCTCATCCAGTGACCAATGCAGGGCATGAATTCACAGGCTGGAACTGCGTGTGGGGCTTCCGCCAGATTCACCCCCTCACTGGCTAGGTTCTCTCTTTTTCCCCCAGCCTCTGAAGCAAGTTTGGAATTCTTTTGTTGCAATCTCTCTGCAGCAGCTCCCACCACGTGTGCTTCTTCCACACATGCTCCTGTGTGTGCTTTTCAGATAGCTAGATCCCTCTACCCTGTGGGTTGTGGGCTTCCCCTGAACCCCCTCTTCAGGCTGCTGCCAAACTAGGTAGCTGCCACAACTACTGTTATACACAGAAGCAGTCAGTTTCACATTTCACCGTCATCTGAATTTTCATCATCAGCAGATTTGGTAAGACAACTGGGAATTCTTAACGGGAGGAATTAGTTAAACAAGTTTTCCCCCACATTAAGAAATGGTAAACACTATCATGATGGAGAGAGTTATGCGTTTGTATGATTATGCAAGGCATGATTTAAAACTGGAACAACTAAGTAAAGGGAAAATCAACTTAACTGAGATTGATACAATGCTAATTATCATTTTGATAATCCTTATTGTTGGTTTGATAATTCTTTTAAAAAGTTGGTTGATATGAGTGCCAAGATACAGGCTTTAGAAAAACTTATTAAAACAGATCATAGAGATATTCAGACCCAGACAGAGTGATTTAAAGGAGAACCAATTTCAGTGTTGCATTATAAGGTTAGAGAGAAACAGCCTAAGGTTTTCAAATAACCAACTTTAATTTACCCAGTCACCTTACAGGAACAACTTCAAAATGATAGATATGCCCAAGGTTTGCAAGAGCTGAATAGACTCCTGTGGAAATGCTAGATTTAAAGAGATTCAAGGAAGCAATAGTCTCATACGGCATGCATTTACCTTTTGTGAAGATGTTAAAATACTGGTCAAATTGTAATAGAATTATCCCACCAAGTGGAGAGACTTGGTTAAAGCTGTCTTGGTCCTCAATTATAATGGATGACATGGTGGAAAAGGTGAGGCTAAAACTATTGAATAATGAAGTACGGCTACAATTATGGAAATCTCCCAAAACCAACTTCTTGGAGAGGGAGATTATGGCTAATGTACAAAGGCAATATCTATATGATTACCATGCCCTGGCTTTATGCCATGCAGCATCTTTGAATGTTCGGGACAGGATTAAAGAAGTAGGAAAGAAAATTGAGTTATTTATTAAATATATACAGGGCCCAAAAGAAAGCTTCAATCTTACAAAGATTGACTTCAATAGTAAATAGAATGATACTGAATTCAGAAGCTAGACAAATAACAATGGAATCTCTAGCTGTTGAAAATGCTAATACACAATGCAACAGGGTAATTAGGCCATTAGAGGCAAGATCAGCACTCTTGAGGGAATGGATACGAGATACAATTAGTATTAAATCTCATGACCATGATGATACTTAGATAGGAGAGATGATTTCTAGAGGTTTGAAGAAAAATTGAAATGTCAAGTGTTTCGATTGTGTCAAAGAAAGTCACCTAAAAAGAAATTGTAAACAAGGAATACCTAGAAATAATGTTTTTTCTAACCATAATCCAAACAGGATGCCCCTCTCTTCTGTGTTATGCAGAAGGTGTCACAAGAGCAGGCATTGGATTAATAATGTAGATCAGCAAGGGACAGTCAAGGTGACCCTTTGCCACTGAGAGACACCTTAAGAGGCCTCTCTCAGGCCCCCATGCCAAATATGGCTGTCATTTCATGTCATCATGGAAGAAACTCCTTTCTGGAGCAATTAGAGACTCTAATGCCTATTGTAAGAAACCATATTGCTCTGGATAATAGGAAAGCTATAGAAGAGAGAACAAACAAATCAGGAGAAACTGTAAAGCAAATATTTTAGCAGAAAACATCTATAAATGAACAAAGATCAAAATAAAAAATATGAATAAATGACACCATTGAAGGTTTTATAAATATAGGTATGGGTGTAACAATAGTTGCACCAGAACCTTGGCATCCAAATTAGCCTCTTCAGGAGGTAAATAAATGTTCAGCTTTTAGGGATTGGAATATTATCTCAACTAAAACAGGGAGCAATATGGGTTGAATGTATAGGACCAGAAGGACAGAGAAGAAAATTAAAGCCATGTGTGGTTGACATAGCAATGAATTTATGGGAACATGATCTGTTACAGCAATAGAATACTCAGATTAACATTCCAGCAATCTTAGAAACAAACCATAAATTAAAGTATGTTTCTGGGAAAAATATTAGAAGATATTATAAAGAACAATCACTTTGAACAAGTGACCTTTGGTGAGGATAATGAGATCCCACAGGATGATCCCACCAGGACTATGGTAACATCAATATGGTGAAAAAAAATCTAAAGATCAGCTTTGAATTACAAGCTTCTCAGGACAATTTCAAGGTGAGATGATCCAGTCTCACAGACCACCCTAGCCAGGACTTTAGACAAGTCCTGCACTTTCTCATTACTCAGACACTGGATAACAAAGATATAGCTACCTCTCCCAGGACTTGACAATTAACCCAAATTTTTTCTTTTCAGAATTCTCTAAAGATGCAGTCACCCCCGGGCAACAGGAAATAATTTCAAGAATACGACACTCACATTCCTAGGAGGTAGGGTGGGTGGTTTCTGGTCTTTCATTGGGCTATAGATATTTGTTATAATTTATGGAGATTAGTTAAATATTTTATTGATAATGACCAGGAAAAAAAGTTGAACATAGGAGATTAGATTCAGAGTTCTTATTTTGAAAAGAAAAAAGGGGATATAGATATGATAGGACATAAGGGTAGATTATTGAATATACTCTGAAAAGAAAATGGGGGGATATATAAATAGAATAAAAAGGTAGATTATTGACTCTACTTTTAAACCAAAAATGTGACTAATAGTCTTAAATATTTTACATTGATATGGATTTTTGTATATTGATACAAATTTAAGATTATTTTTATTAGATAATTCTGTATCTATATTTCTAATCTTGTTCAAGGTATTGTACCTATGCAACTCATTTAACAATGTAATGTAATTTTTTAGTCCTTGAAAGTTGTTATTATCAACTATTGAAGATAATAAGGAAATGCAGGTTAGTAATTAGTCACCTATTACAATTGAACTTGTAATCATATTAGATATTTTCTCAAGGTCAAACAGAGATATATTTTAGATAGACAGGTAGTCTATCTATATGGCATTTAAGATGTTTTAATAACGTAGGTTTTTAATCTTTTTTTATGACAATGAGACATATCTGCTCCTGGCAGCACAAAGCTTCTTCAGAGAAGATGATGGGCATCGAGGAAACTCTACATGGAGCTTACTTTCTTTGTGGCAAAGGTTAGCCATTGGGCAAAAAAAAATGCTCTTGTCTCAACTTCTGACAGTATGCTGTTCAAACTTGACAAGCAAAAAACGAAAGGAAGGACTGCTGAACTTTGCCAAGACAAGGTAGGACAGTCCTTCAGCATATCCTACCACACAGAAAAGTCTGTCAGATACACTAGGCTTATAGGCCAAAGATTAATGCTCCAACATTGCAGAGGAATCTTGGGGTGACTGTCTAGGCTGTTTTTGTCATTTCTCACATTATTTATAAATCACTTGCTTGCACTTCCTGCTTACTCAGGTAATATTATCTCCTTCTCAGGTCTCTGATGGAGTTGAAGAGCTTATAGTTATATTTTTCCTTGTACCAGATTCAGAAAAGAAATTCACTAAAGAGATGCAAAATGTGTAAAGTTGAGAGACATAAAAGAATACTTTTGGGTTGGTAATGCAAGTTAGGATAGAAAAGGAATTAGGTACAACATTTTGGACTCACCAAGATAGGACAGATAAGGAACATTTTCCCTGAATTTGCCAATTGATAATGGGGTAGACAATTTTGATGCATTTATTGACTATATTATATATAGTTATTGTTCTTATTGTATATAGTTTTTATATTAGCTATAACCGTTTTTATTTTAGAAAAAAGGGGGAATGTGATGTATCTTGTTTATATTCTAACGAATAAAGCTTGCCTGAAGATCAGAGGGCAGAGCTAGCCACTAGTTAGCCATAGAGGTCTGGAGGTCTGTACAGACAAACAGGAAGTAGAAATGGCTGGGCGGAGAGAGAAATATTAGGCAGGAGGAGACAGGAGCTTGATCTCTTTTCAGTCTGAGGATTTTTGTAGAGGTAAGATCTCTAGCGGCTGGCTGCTCTGCTTCTCTGATCTTTCAACTTTCACCCCCTAGTATCTGACTCTGGGCTTTTATTACTAAGATCTATAGAACTCGTGCTTGTCTGTCTCAGTAAGCCTTCTGTTACTGTGACATAATGCCCAGGAGAAATCAGCTTAAGGGAGGAAGGTTTGGAGTGTGCTTCCAGATGTTTCAGGCCATGGACACCTGGCTCTGCTGCTCCTGGCCTGTGGTGCGTCATGTGGACAGCAGGCAGCAGAGCAAGGTGACCCTCCCAGTGGCAAACAGAAGGCAGAGAGAGGAAGAGGTTTGGGAACATGTCCTTCAAAGCACACACTTAGTGGCTTTTTCCTCCAAACAACCCCACCTTTTGATAAGCATCTGGCTGTGAACTCCCTCATCCCTGAGGTCAGCACCATCACACCCTATTGGCCCTCTGAAGAGACCCCAGTGGAGCTAGGCCTTCAGCAACTGCCCAACCGTGATACTCTCACTACAGGTAAGTGTCACCTGTGTGTGGAACTCATACCAATGGACTCATACCATGTATATTCTATGTCTGAGTTCCTTTGTTTGGCCTGGTGTTTCTGATGTTTATGGATTTATCTCTGTGCGTGTCTGTGCTAGTATCTCACAGTGTCGGTACATCACCATCTTTACCTAGCTCCCTCCTCCTCCTCCTCCTCCTTGTTTGTTTTCAGGGGTGGTTTTGTGTTTTAGGCTTGGTTTTCTGTTTTGTTTTTTTTTTCTAAACAGGGTTTCTCTGTGTGGTCACCCTGGCTGTCCTGGAACTTGCTCTGTAGACCTGGCTGGCCTCCAGCTCAGAGATTCACCTGCCTCTGACTCCCAGGTGCTGAAATTAAAGGTATAGGTCACCCACTGCCCATTGCCTGTCTGCTCTCTTATTGACTGACATATGGGTCGTTTACCCTTTGGGTTAATTAGAAAGAAAGCTACTAGAACATTCTTGTGTCTTTCTCTTTGTACAGATGCTTCATTTCTTTTGGGCTCCCAGGAAGAGGAACTTTGTTAAGATACAAGGTAAATGTGTGTTTAACTTTGTAGGAAATGACTGCAATCCTTTGAACTTGGGGAAAGCTTGTTATTCTCCAGCCCACAGTCTTGATGTGTGCTCCACACACCTGAAAAAGAGGTTATCCTGCCACAGTTGAATGTGGCACTTTATGAACATCAGTAAGAAGACAATGGCTGGCGGCATTGCTGAAATCTATCATTTCCTGGTTCTTTGTGCCCTGTTTATTGAGAGCAGACTCTCATATTTCCCCAACAGTGTGATTCTTCAATTTCTCTCTGTTCTGTCAACTTTGACTTAACACATTTTCCAGTGCTGCTAGTGGGCACTACACACTCAGGACTCCTGGGTCTTTTTGACAACTGACTGTTTAATCATTAAGAAATACTCGCTAGGGCTTCTCAAGTTCTAATTTTGGCCCTATCCTCCTATGTCCAGCTTCCCTGCTGAACGTTTGCAAGGTTTATCATAAACTTGCACTTTTATGGGTCTTTATATCTATAATAGGCTCTCTGTGAGTGGCACATGGTAGACCTTGCTCTTTTGGGCCATCTGACAGCCTTTCCTTTAACATGTGGTGTTATGAATATATATTTGATGTAACGGCGGCCTTTGCTAAGTTGGGATGAGTCTGTCATCTATTCCCCTTTCGCATCTCCTGATTCGTTATAATTACTCAGACAGGTCTTCCAGGATTTCACTGTAGGTTGCCCCTCCTCCCCTCTCTTTCTCACTCTCTCTTTCTTTCTTCCTTTCTTTTGATGATCCTGGGGATCAAACCCAGGGCTTCATGTATGCTGGGCAAGCGCTCTACAGTTGAGCCACATCTTCACCCTTTGTTTTAAAACTCTCTGTGTGGAAACAGTGTTAATAGGTTGTCCAGGCTAACCTCAGACGTTTTCTGTGACCCAGGCTTTGAACTGGTGTTCAGAAACCCCAGGCCCAGGTGCTTTTCCTTCCTTGGAATTACAGGCCTGTGCCACTGGGCCTGGCTCACTGTAGGTTTTCTAATGATCTTCAAGCTATATTTTTGTTCTGTTTAACTCTAGGGACATCTCTAGGGATAAAAATAAGAGTCACAAGACAAACCTTGTATCACGCATAAGATAGCTGGAATTGGGAGCTGTACAGGTGGCCTAATGGTTAGAACGTTTGCTGCTTTTGCAGAGAACCCAAGTTTGGTTCCCAAAACCTGTGTCAGGTGGATTACAACCTTCTGTAAGTCCAGCTCCAAAGGACCTGGTGCTTTTGGCTCTGCAGGCACCCAGATTCTCTCTCTCTCTCTCTCTCTCTCTCTCTCTCTCTCTCTCTCTCTCTCTCTCTCTCTGTCTCTGTCTCTGAAAAAAATAATATTCAAAAAAGAAAACTAGAACTGGGTCAGTGTGTTTGTTCACCTACTCATAATTGTTTGTGATGGCTTTCAGCTTGTTCCCACTTTTTGGATGTAAAGAATGTTGCCCCTCTGGACATTCCTTCTAAAGTCACGTGTTTGAGGACTTATTTGTATATCTCTTGAGTAACTACCATTAGTAATGCCATTGCTGGATTCTGCAGTGAGTTTGTGTTTAATACTTTAAACAAACAAACTAACAAAACAAACTTACCAAACTGCTTTCAGAAGGGCCTGGCCACTTGGTGCTGTCATTTGCAAAGGATGACAAACTTTAAAGCAGTTGCAGAGGAGGAACAGAGTCTTTCCCACTACACAGAGTTTTCTTTAGCTGGGAGTAGGGGAGAGTGGGGGGATGAGAGGGAGGTGGGGGTAGGAGGATGGTGCTGTCCATTTCTCCCTGTAGACCAGCATCTTTTCCCTTCACCCTGAACACCTCATTTTGCAGTCTTGAAGCTGTGGAGTCCTCTCCACGTGAGACCATCTTAAAGTGTCTTCATTTTAGATTGATTTGTTCTCGAATGAAGTGTGTAGGTGTTTGTGTGCACATGCAGGTCATGGTGAAGTTGAGAGGTCAATGAGGTGGTTGGAGTAGGATGGCCCCCGAAGGCTCATATTTGAATACTTGGGCCATTAGGGAGTGGTGGCTATTTGACAGGGATTAGGAGGTGGGTGTATTCTTACAGAGTAGGTGAGGCCTTGTTGGAGGAAGTGTGTCACTGCGGGGCGGGCTCTGGAGTTTCAAATGCTCAAGCCAGGTCCAGTGTTTCTCTCTCCTGCTCCCTGCCAATCCAGCTGTAGAACTCTCAGCTCCTTCTCTAGCATCACATCTGCAGCTAGGGCAGCTAGGCTTCCTGCCATTACAATAACAGACTAAGCCTCTGAAACTGTACACCAATCCCAACTAAATTTTTTCCTTTATAAGAGCTGCCATCGTGATGGTGTCTCTTCACAGCAATAGAAACCCTAACTAAGACAGTTTACATCAAGTGTGATAACTATTCTTGGTTCTCATCTGGAATTAACAAAAGCCTAAACATTTGGTCACACCTATGAGAGATTTTTCTTGGTTAGATCATTGAAGGTTAGAAGATCCACCTTAAACCTGGGCCACATCTTCTGGTGGTAGCCTATACAAAGGACATGGAAGAAGGGAGAATTTTCTCTTTGCCTGTTTTCCTTCATGCCTGCTAGCAAGTTCATTCCTTCACTGGTATTAGACACCACTTCTTTGGGATTCTAATGTACACTGAAGACCAGCTGAGACATCCAACTTTGTGAAGGAATAACTGTGGAACTTTCCATTGGGAGACAGCCACTGTTAGACTAGCCAGAATACTTATGCATTCTATCAGTTCTATTTCTCTAGAGAATCCTGATTATATATCTGATGTACTCCCCAACCACTCTCCGCCTTATTTTTTGAGGCACGGTCTCTCACTGAACCTGGAGCAAGCCTAATCAGCTAGACTGGCTGGCCAGGTAGCTCCAAGGTTCTGCCTATGCCTGTCCCTCTCCTCAGTCCCTATTTTTATTTTTAAAACATAGTTTTGCTGTATATAAAATCCTAGGTGCATAGATTTTGTTTGTTTCAGAATTTAGAAGCTACTTTGCAGCTGGACCTGCTGGCACACACCTGTAGTTCCAGCGCTCAGGATACTGAGGCAGGGGGGTTGCAAGTTCCAGGCCACACTACACTACATTAAGATTCTGTCTCAAAACATAAAAGCAAAAAACTTGGGCAAGCTCAGTGGTAGAGTGCTCAACTAGCCAGCTCAAGCCTGGGTCAGTTCTCTGTCTCCCTCCTCCCCTTAAAGCTACTTCCCATTGCTTATTGACTTTCACAGTTTCCAACTACCAATCAGCAGTCATACTTGTTGCCTTGCTCCTGTATGGCTTTTAAAAATTATACTGAAGATGGAGCTATTTATCATTGCTTTAACATTCAATGTTAGTATTATATGCCTTACCACACTGTGCCAGTATGGTGTAATCCTTCTTTCTAGGATTCCTAGTAGATTGAAGACTGGCTAATGTCACAACCAGGTGGCAAAGGATCCATTAAGTACGTTGTCCAGGTTCTTCCCCCCTGTTCAGAGCCGATTTCCTTCACCTTTCTTCAACCTTTCTGGCCCTCCTTTCCTCAAGTGGACTCTACTACTCACCTGTAGTATTTTCAGTTCCAAGATTTTAACTTTTATTTCTAGAATTCTCATTTTGTTATTTTTCAAAGCTTCCCTGGGTAATCCTGAAATATCACTTCTGTACACATTCCACTTATTTTTGTCCTATAAATCTCCTCGTAAATATTCATGCACATAGATGGTTTCTCATCTGCACCCATTATCTGCATTTTCTCTGGGTCCTGAGTCACATTTTCCAAGTTAGCTTCTAATGTCTCTGCTGTCTCCTTTCATTATATTTTTGAGTTTGTATAAAAAAACAACACAGTGGAAATAATACGATTTCCCCTTTATTTTGTGCTTTGTTTGCTACAGAGTCTGACCTTCCCACTGCCTAGTGGGGTGATGGAGAAGCTGAGTGCTGTGTTTCTTTTCACGTGTTAATCAGCTGGGGTTGAGAGCTAGAATTACCTGCAATCAGTTCCCCCTGGCAGCCTCTGTCTTCTGTCAGTACTGAACTCTAGTGTCAGGATGGTTTTATTATTATCTAAAGTCAGCGTCTTCAGGAAGCCAGTCAGTATGAAAATCTGCTTGACCACTCGGCCCTTCTCCATTTCCGTCTCTTTCCTCCACCTCTGCCTTCTAGGAAACCTTGGGTGGAAAGCTGCATGACAGAACACCACATCCTCCTACATCAGAGCATCTCCATCACGCTAGCTTCACTGACTTCCTGTATTCCAAACTCTAATTTGCCCCGCCCACCCAAGCTCTACTCCAAGGCTGAAGGGATTTCCGGTTGACCTTGCAGATTCAGCCCCTCCCTGGATCAGACACAGTTCCAGTTCTGGCTTCCTTCTATAACTCGGGTCCTTGAAGCACTTTGATTCTACTGTTTTTGACTGGTTTGGGGCAAGTAAGGTGACTCAGTGGGTGAGGGTCCCTGCCATCAAGCCTGACAAATTGAATTCTATCCTGGGACCCACAGTTTAGAAGGAATGCTCCAGTTCCCACAGGTTGTCCTCTGACCTCAGGTGTGTGCCTGGCCTAAAATTGAAAGCCTGGTTTTTAAAATACTTGGGGTTTTTGTTGTTGTTGTTACCTCTGTACCTCTCTCTACATCACCCAGGAATACAGTCTCTGTAGAGTTAAATACCATCATTTACAATTATTAATCATAGAAGATACTTACAACACAGGTTAATGCTTTGACACAGGTGCATGGTTCTCTGAGAGTCTCTTCTGGCAATTGACTGTATTCGCCACTTTCCTTATTACTGTGGCAAAATGCCCAAGGAAAGTTACTGAGGCAAAATGACTCAAGAGGGAAGGGTTTATTTTGGCTCACAGTTCAGGGATGCAGTCTGTCACTGTTGGGGAAGTCATGGTAGCTGGAATGTGAGGTGATTGATTGGTCACATTGTATCTGTAGCCAGGAAGCAAAGAGAGAGACACGCTGGTTCTCAGCTCTGTTTCTCTTTTTTTATTCAGTTTGGAA